TCTATTGCAGGGGGCATCCTTTCCACCCTCACTATGGTACCCATAAATTTAACCATGGGGAGCCACACTGAGACTTTGAATTTTATAGTGACCCTTGGCATGGAGTGGCCCCTAGCCCTAGTACTGGCCTGATTAAAAAAATGGAACCGATGAGTGAACTGGAGATTCCCTAAGGAGAAAACCCTCTAACTCGATGGCTGCCACAGGCCCAGAGTGAAACCTAAGTGTGAAGTGGTGGCAGCACTTAACAGTAAGAAATCAAAAGGCATACCCTGAGAGTACACTGAGGTTTTTAGTGAGAAATGCTCCAATGAACTACCTCCTCACTGTCCCACAGATTGTGACATTGAAATCATCCCCGGAGCAAAGTTGCCCAAACCCAAGCTCTATTTGATGACCCCCCCCCCCGAGAGTTAGAAGAGCTGCACAAATTTATAAATAAAAATTTGGCACACAGTTTCATCCAACCAGCTAGACCGAAAATGGCCGCTCCAGTGTTATTTCAAGAAAAAAAAGATGTGTCTCTTTGTTTCTGCATGGATTATAGATGTTTGAATGCTGTGTGTGTGGACAATGTATACCTCTTGCCCCTCATGAAAGACATGCTGGCCCACCTCTCAAAGGGGAAGATTTTCTCCAAGTTAGACCTATGAGAGGCATATTACTGGATCAGAATCAAGGAGGGGGATGAGTGGAAAACTGCTTTCAACTGCCCCCTGGGGTGCTTCCAATTCAAAGTACTTCCATTTGGGCTGCAGGGAGCGCAGCAGTATTTATACAACTAATTAATGAACATTTGTACAAGGGGGTTTTGGTGTACCTGTATGACATATTAATCTACACCAAAATGAAAGCTGAGCATGTAAAAGTAGTCAGAGCAGTTTTAAATAAGCTCTGCACAGCCAAGCTATATGCCGAACTTTCAAAATGTGAGTTCCACAAAGAAAAAAAAAAGACTATTTGGGTTACCAGATTTCTCACAAAAGGATGGAAATGGACCTAGAAAAGGTGCAGACTGTTTTGGAATGGGCTCCGTCATGCACCCCGAAACAGCTGCAGTTTTCTAGGCTTTGCAAACTTCTACCAACAATTCATCCCCTCTTTCCTCAGATCACACTCCCCATTACTAACGCTGAAAAACCAAGGAGGAAAACAAACCAAAACCTAGCTAGCTTTATAAGTGGACTATGGAATGCCAAGCGGCATTTGAGAAATTAAAAAGACTTTTTTCCATGGAGCCAATGCTAAAACAAATCCAGAAAAGCTGTTTGACATCAAGGCAGATGCCAGTGATGTAGTGGTGGGCGCAGTGCTACTTCAGGAAAACCAGGAAGGTCAGTTGCAGACCTGTGCTTACACCTCAAAGAAACTCACAGAAACTGAACAATGATGGGCTGTCTGGGTAAAGGAAGCTTATGCTGTGCATTGGGCCCTCCTCATCTGGAGGCATTTCCTGGAAGGGAACAAGATCCCTTTCCAAGTATGGACTGATCATAAAAACCTCAAAGCACTAAAGACCCCCAGGAAGCTGTCCCCTAAACAGGCTTAATTGCCCCAATACTTCCACCAATTCAATTTTACTCTCCGGTACTTACCTAGGGGGGAAAACTTTTTGGCAGACTCCCTGTCATGGATGCCACAATACAACAGCACGAAAGCTGAAATAGTCAAACCGCTACACAACAATTGGCAGCCCCAGTCACCACAAGGGTGCAAACTAAAAACGCTCCACCACTGGACAATACAGCAGCCACCAAATTTAGGCAAGCCCTGGAGAAGGACAAGTGGTTCCTCAGCCACAAAAATCTCTGTTCAATGTGAGAAAGATTATCCTGGGTAGGGGGGAAATTATACATCCCTACAACCCAGAGACTAAAGTTCATGCAGCTCTGCCACGATTTGAAGCTAGCAGGACATTTGGGGTTTGTGAAAACCCTCCACCTCATAAAGAGGCAGTTTTGGTGGCCATTTCTAAAAAATGACATTGCAGCAGCTAAACGAAGACAGGGGAAAATACCTGGTCTCCTGCAGCCGGTTGCAAAACCTTCAGCACCCTGGAGAGAGATCTCTATGGATTTTATTGTAGAGCTACCAGAAAGTGCAGGAAACACTGTCATCTGGGTAGTAACAGATTTATTTTCCAAGCAAGTCCACTTCATTCCTTGCAGAAATTCCATCTGCAAAAGCCTTGGCTATGATGTTTGTACAACATATCTATTGGCTACATGGGGCCCCACAATGCATAATTTCAGATAGAGGAGTCAAATTCACCTCCAAGTTCTGGAGAGCCTTTTTGGACCTATTGTGTACTGACCAGGCTTGTCACCCAGTCATCATTTCCAAACGAATGGGCAGACAGAACAAACTTAGTATTAGAACAATACCTGAGGTGCTTCATAATTTATCAACAGGACAATTGGACTGACCTACTGCCATTTGCTGAATGCAATGCATTCCAGTACTGGTTACACACCTTTCCAAGTGGCTAAAGGACAGTTTCAACCCGATCCCTGAATTACCTGCCAATGAACCTACCATCCCTTCCCTTAAGGAATGGATTAAGCAATTGCAAAATACATGGCAAGTCATCAGAAAAGTCTTAAACTAGAAAAGCCTATAAAGCCCAAGCAGATAAAAAAGGACGGAACCCAAGCCTTTTAGGATGGGGGACAGGGTATACCTCTCCACTATGTTCCTGCAGTCCCTGCAGCCTTCAAAAAAGTTGGGCCCAAAATTTGTGGGACCCTTCCCTATTAAACTCATCATCAACCCAGTCACAGTAGAACTAGAACTCCCCAAAACATTAAGACAGATCCATCTAGTATTCCACTGCAGCTTACTAAAGCCCAAGATGAGTTCGCCTTTAAGGCTGGCAGTAGCTCCTCCACCACAACCTATTATGGTAGATGGTGAACAACATTTTGAGATCAGGAAATTTTAGATTCCAGAAAGCATCATGGGGCCACCCAATATTTAGTGGCATGGAAGACCTCCCAGCTTCTCAGAATGAATGGTTCTAGGGCCCCTAGACCAGGGCTTTTCAACCTTTTCACCCATTGTACTACTTTTAGGATATGGCAATATCCGAGTACCACCAGTCACCTAGCAAGATGTCAAAAACTTGATGACCAAAAAAAAAGGAAAAAAGTGATAAAGTACAGGTAGTCCTCGACTTACAACAGTTTGCTTAGTGACTGTTCAAAGTTACAATGGCACTGAAAAAAGTGACCCCCAAGCCACAACTGAGCAAGACACCTGCCTGCCCACCCAGCAGCGCTCTTCCTCCTTTCCGAGGTTTTCATTGTTGTGAGCATTTCTGTTGAGAATTGGCAGTGAGGGTGGGGTGGTGGGGTGTTTGGTTTTTATTCCCTCTGCCTGCTGGATGGTTGCAGCAGGTTTTGGTCATTTCACATGACCCTGGGACACTGTGACCATCATAAATATGAATCAATTGCCAAGCATCTGAATGTAAATCACAAGACCCTGGAGATGCTGCAACATTCCAGCATTGGTGCTTCTTCTGGGCTCAGCAGAAATGCCAGAATCAGCGCTGAGCTCCAGCTGGAGCCTGGCGCTGATCCTGGCACTTACACTGAGTTCTGACAGCCCCGAAGAAGTGCTGATCCTGGCGCTTCCGCTGAGCCTTGACAGCCCTGCAGCTCCAGCCATCTCTCACTCAGGCTTGTGCGGTGCTGCCACCGGTTCTGCTCATTCCCCTCCCTCACTACCACTTTCCTAGGATGGTCACATACTACCTGACAGGTGCCAACGTACCACAGGGGGTACCCATACCACTGGTTGAAAAGCCCTGCCTTAGACGCACAAACATTTTCATGCACGTTACCCTGATAAACCTGATTAACTGCTATGTTTCATTTTCTCCCTGTTATTATTTTCTCTTCTCCAGGTAGATCATTCCTGTTTTTCGGGGGGGGGGTGGAATGTCAGACCCTCAATGTATTTCTTTTCCTATGCCTTTCCTTTTTGGGTTCTGCCATTCTGTTGGGAGGGGGGAGGCTTGTGCTTAGAAAGCGACCTATTTATCTTCTACAATGTATTTTCTTTGCTTTGTTCTATCCTCTTTGAAGTACTTTACTTGGGGTGTGAAAGGAGGGAGGAATGGGCCTTCGGCCATCTGCCTTATCTCCAGTCAGATGGGAAGGAGCCATGGAGAAAACTGACAGCCTTGAGAATGGCGCCTTATCGCTTGTTTCCCACAACAACTTAACACCTATTGATTGGTTCAAATCAAACCGGCTGGTTGGACATTTGGGGAGGGGTTTGAAAGGGTTCTTTTAATGTAATGTTTCACGTGGGAACTCCTTATCCTGCCTTATTCTCCTGCTATCAATAATTTCCAATAAAAGTTCCTGTGAAACAACGCAAGTTTCAAGAGTTCTGCTTTCTTGGGAGAATTAATTGAGGCAGGTCCTTACAGCACCTCAAAATCATGCTTTAGCATCATTGTGAAAAATGCCTTTAATCATGACTTTTGAAGCCATACTAAAAATAAAGTTGAACCTTTATTAATAATTAATAATCATAATAATATGATTATAACCTTCATAAACTGGAACCAACTCAATTAATCATGGTACTTCCTTTCCATTCATTACAGTGGAATGAATATCTCTTGCATAATTTAGACAGTGAGATAGGCAGTGCCTAAATTGATAAATAAATAAAAAAATAAAAATACTAATTTCTGTTCCTTTTTAGGTCTGTAGTACACTAATGTGACTTCATTAGTATCAACATTCAGAATATCTACATTATTCATACTGTCACCTATTTAACTTTGGCCTTCATACATTTTCATGTATTTCACTTTACATTATTAATACTGCAAAATGGTGGTTATGATTGACACTTTTAAAATATCAATCTACCTTCTCATAAAGATTATTTATCATTGCAGTTCTGAGAAAAGAAAAAATATACGGATAAAATATGCAATTTTAAACATGCTATAAAATAAGATTTTTTAAAGCATAACTTACGTTGAAAATGCATTATTTTGATTTTCACAGCGTATTCCTTTGCAGTGATCAGGTTCATTTGTTTCATAATAAAAATATAGCTGGTTAAGTCCATTTGCAAAAGCTAGCAGTACAAGACAGTAGATGAAGAGAAATTTTAAAATATCCAATAGCATTCTTCCAAGAGATATCTGTAGTGGTCCCAAGTGAGAATTTGCAGTGAATAATGAGATTAGACGCAAAGAACTAAAAATATTTGCAATAGCAAACAGGGCCTCTGCAACCACTGTTGGATGCCACATATCCCAGCTCTGTCTTGCAAGCAGCCCACTGTACTGTAAACAAAATAATGAGACAATATTAACCAGTATTTCTCTATTGTAGCAGCTCTTTAAATCACACTTTTATTTTTTTATGAACTCAAGAGTATGTCCAAAATAAAACTTGCTCATTCATTCATTCACTTATAGTGTTTCAGTTAACCCTGGGCAGCTTCCAAACAAAGATTAAAAAATATATAAAAGTATTTAAAATCTACAAAACACAACTAATTAAAACTTAAAAAATTAAAAACAACAAAAACCTGGTGCCAATTCATGCTAACATACCATAATCTAATCTCCCAGCACCTGGGAGAAAAAAAAACCCAGTTTTTTAAGGTTTTGTGGAAAGTTAAAAGGGTGGATGCCTGCTAATTTAATGGGACAAAATGTTCTACAAGGCAGGGACTGCCTGGAAATGGCATACTTCCTAGCTCACATTAGATGACAATATTTGGGGAAAAGAACCAGGAATGTGCCCACCCCATCTGACCTGATAGGAAAAACAGTAATGCAGGTAGCCTGTTCTGTGTCATCACTTTAAAGATAGCGTCCAGCACTTTGAATTGCACATTGAAACTGGAAACTAGTGCAGCTCACACAACAGAGGTGTTACATGGGCAAACCTAGGGCCCCCATTACTTTGCATGATGCTGCATTCTGGACCAGTTTAATTTTTTGAGTGGCCTTCAATGTGTTGTAGTAATCCAGACAGGAAGTGACCAAGGCATGGGTGACCATGAACAAGGCCTCCTGATCCAGCAAAGGGCACACCAAAGGTCCCCCTTGCCATGGCTGCCCTCTACTCCTCAAGCAGGAGCCATGAGTCCAGGAGGCTCCCCAAACTGCACATCAGCTCAATCTGGGAAGTACTAACCCATCCAGAGAATGGCCTCTTAAGAAGAGGGTGTACCATTGCCTCCTTCAAGGCGGACAGTACCATCCATTCCTGCAGAGAGGCATTAATCACTGTTTGGATCCAACCAGTGACCACCTCCTGGGGCATGAATCCAGAACACAGGTGACTCAACTAACAGCCTCAAGGACCCTGTCCACTTCCTCCAGAGTAACTGGCTCGAACTCCCAAGGCTCAGACATGTCTTCATCAGATCCAAGGAGACTGTCCAGTCAGAGTCCAATTCTGAGTGAAGTCAAGCGACTTTATCTAAAAGATGCTGAAAATATTCTTGCAAGGGTTCCTCCAGTTCCTTCTTACCCAGGAGAGATCTGATTACCTGAAAGAGGTTGCTGGTTGCCTATGAGCAAGAGAAGTAATAACACTTTGCAACTCTTATTGCCACAAGGTAAAGCCTAATGCAGGCTTTTAACTGTGCTTGGTTGGCCTCACTCTTTGTAATCCTCCAGCAGCACTCTAAGTGTCTCTTATGTTGCTTCATCTCTCTGAGACAATTGGTGTGCCATAAGACTCTATGAGATCCACAGACACAGAGAGTCAAAACAGATGGGATTTGGTCCATGGCTCCCATCATCTGTTCATTCCAAGCTGCAATGAAAGCTTCTGCCAAACAGTGCAACAGAGTTTCAGGGAAAAAAACCCTGCCCTCTGAAATTGCATTGGGTTCATCAGGAGTGAGCTGATTGAATAGGCTCTGCCTTCCTGCAGTGATGTGTGTGTGTGTGTGCGCGTGTGTGTGTGTCTGTGAAGAAATCTAGCATCAAGAGGTGATTCATCCATGGCAGGATGTTAATGTCCCCCAAATCCAGATCATGATAACACATTACCCCAAGGCCTTTCTTTACAAAGTGATACCTAGCTAGAGCTTCTTTCTTTTCTTATTTTACTGTTCTATGAGAATAGAATATTCAGCTTCTCTATGCAGAGAATAGAGAATCCCTCCTTATAAAGGATTGCACATCACTGAAGAAATGTGAACTATGAACCAAATTAGTAAAAGTGTTAAAACAATTGAATCAAAAAAGAAATGTAAAATACTTCTGACTCTTAGATAAAGGAAGTTCATTTAGAAATTTAGACCATCCATAAGGCTACAAGCAAGCCCATATTGCACCAACTTCTCTCACACTACCAGGGAAACAGTTGCTGTGAAATTAGAATAAGGCATAATTTCATTCCCTAAAGAAGGCTAGTCAAAGAGCAATCTCAGATAGACTTAGGAGGAATATGAAGCAAGAGTCACAATAAATAGTAGGAAATTATCACAGGACACTATTTTCATTTTTTGCCATGTGGATCTAGAGGATTGATAATAGATATGGATCACCACACACATTTGGCTCTATTTCTGTCATTTTTTTATGCCTGGAATATGGAATGTCTAATATAAAACAAGGAGGAAGATGGCTGTGTCACACCTTACAAGTAATAATGATATAAAACTGTTCATTGGAAGACATTGATGATATATATACACGGTACACAGAGTCATTAAATGGATTTTCTAACTTGTATGGCTGTATAGTACTGTAGAGTTAGTTGATTTCTAGGAAACAAAAACAATTTCCTTCAGTCTTTGGTCCTGGACATTGGATGTCTAAATAAACCTAAGTATAAACTTAAGAGAATTTGTTATCATAAACTGACATGGTGAGCACTTATCAACTTGTTTATCAACTGCCCCATTTAGCGACAATTCAGTTACAACAGTGAGGAAAAAATAGCTTTATGATCAGCCCTCACATTTATGACCTTCACAGGTTTGTAAAGCAAAGGAAAGCTGAAATAAGATCATAAGAACAGCTGTGTTTTCACTTAGTGACTGTTTTGCTTAATGACCAACTATGGTAACTATTAAAGAACTACCTGAATTTTTTTGGATTAAAAAGAATAGCTATGGAACAGAATACATCCAAAGAAAATGTCAAGCATCTAGTATTTGTTAAGAGTTTGTTACCTTTGAAAATGCAACTATTTTCAGTGATATTGTTGCCAGGTATAGAGAGTTCATAACAAAATCCATCAGATTCCACCAGTCATGAATGTAATCTTGCAGGCCGCCATCCCACATTTGTTTAATTTCACCCCAAATAAACCCTATAAATATAAAAAGCAAAGATTAACTACATCACTAATTATTTAAGTAATCATTTTAACTGAAGTTTCCATAATGAATAGAATCAGGGCTACAGAAATCTGCAAGCTACTTAATGGCAACAAAGAGTTACAGAAAACTCTAATTGTAATCTCCATCTATAAAGTTGTCAAGCATCAATGGCTTCTGTTAAACCTTCACTCCCACTGGTTTAAAAGTGAGATCTCAGATTTATACCTGTCCTTAAAAAGGTGTGTGTATGTGTGTGTAAATCAATGAATAAATTCACTGGTTATAGAATCTTTTTCTTTTCAAGGAGATGTAGATGTTCATGTGTCAGGTAAATGACACTCAAGTGAAATTGTATGATGAAAATTTTAGTCATTTACAATCAGAAAATAAATACTTTATGATAACTGAAACCATTAACAATACATTTTCATTCTTCACCAATCGTAATTGAATTGATACTATTTTTCTTGGAAATGGTTATTTGTAATTAATAGATTTTATACAAGTTTGTGCTTTAAAAGTTAAAGTTAGTAGTAGTACCTACAGAAATTTCTTAAAAGGCATAATCTTATATTTAGGATTCTGTATTAATGAACTATTAAAGTGCAGTTATTATTTTGTAAAAAAATATTGCATGTTTAAAAATACATTGGCAATGAACAAAAATTAAGTGAATAGTATTGCCAAATGAGGATGTTGGAATTTCAGGAAAGGAGAATGCTGACATTATATCCTGTGTCTGTTATAGGAACAACTATAAATCTCTAATAATGATGCAATTTTACACCAGATTTAAGTTGCAACTTAAGTGCAAGTTTCTCTCCCTGTTATTATAATGGAAATAACATATAGGGAAAATCAATATGTATAGATAGATATGTTACATGTTTATACCTATCCTTAAAAAGTTGTGTATGTGTGTATATATGTTTGTAAAACTTACTCTTTTTAATTTTTCAATATTAAGTGCACAATTCTTTTTACCAATAACTGTGCATACGTTCAAATATGCCATAAAGAAGAGGGAGCACCAGAAAGCAAAACAAGAAACAATGGATGGAAACTAATCAAAGAGAGTAGCAACCTAGAACTAAGGAGAAACTTCCTAACAGTGAGGACAATTAGCCAGTGGAACAGCTTGTCTTCAGAAGTTGTGGCTACTTCATTATTGGAGGTTTTCCAAGAGTTCTGTCTTCTTAAGATGCAAAGTGGGATGGGTCCTTACATTAGACAGGACTTGCAAAATTAATCCACCTGGAAGGGAGACCCTTGCCGGGAGATTTTGCAAAAAATTACCATGTCAGACAATGGAGGAAGAAAGGGGGAAACTCCCTGGAAAGAGAGCTGCTGACCCAATTGGAACCTTGCCAAATGTTGGGATCCGAGAGGTCAGATTCCTCAGGAGAAGAAGTGGTGGAGACACGGGACCACAACCCTCCCTGGTCAATGGGCGTTGGAAAGAAAAGTGAGCGGGGAAAGGAATCAAGAAAGGTGACCCTGAGATGGGGGGCCAAGCAACCAGAATGGAAGCAGGAGATGGAGAAATCCCTGCACGTAAGTGAAGAGGGAGAAAGCTGGGCACCGTACTCAGACTGGATCCTAGAGAAAGCTATTGACCTGATGAAGAGAACTCTCAGCTCCCTAGGAGAGGAGAATCCTGAGCCCTACGGCCGCCCCAGCTCCTGGAGCCACAAAGGGAGAGACACCGAGGGGGAAGTGGAACCTGCAGCCCCGGGGACATCTGCTGATCCAGTAGTCCCCACCCCCTGCAAAACCACAGATGGCAATCTGAATGGAAGACACTACCACCAACAACGGAGGCACCGATCCATTCCAAGACGTCCGCTATTGGAGGTGAAATTCAAAGGGGAGCTAACACGCTTGGGGTTTTTCCTAACCCAAGTCTTCAGCTACATGGAGGAATATGGGCCGAACATCCCCAGCGACAAAGCCCGCATCCAGATCGTGCAATCTGCCCTGGACGGACCGGCTGCAGATTGGGTGGTGAACTTGCATGACTCCAATGCCCCAGAACTCAGTAACTTCAACCGTTTCATGTCCTCTCTGAGAAGATGATTTGAAGACCCCCTGGCTGATCGCAAAGCCCATAAAAGGATAAAAATGATGAGGCAAGGCAAACACCCGGTGGCTGAATATACACAAGAATTCCGAGCCATTGCCAGCAAACTGAACTGGCCAGAAGACATCCTCCTTAGCCATTTCAAAAACGGACTAAATTATGATCTATATGACGCTTGCCTGCCCCGAAGGGACCCACACCAACTTGAGGAATGGTACATCTTGGCAAAGGAAGCAGAGATCGACATATTGAAAAGACACCGCTGAGGAAAACAATGGAGCCGCTCCCCGCCTGAGTTGACACACGAACCAGTGAAACCATCGGCTATAGCCAAGAAGCAAATGGGGTGTTTCAAGTGCGGAAGAGAAGGGCATCGAGCTGTAGAATGCCGCTCCAAAGCCCCCAAGCATAACCCAATCAGCAAATCTGGAAAGTCTTCAGCTAAGCCAAAAGAAACTGCAATGAGAATGATGGAAATTGCGGAACCCCCCACTTCTGCTCATCAGGGGGAAAGAACTCCAGCCTACACTGCAGGGCTGGTGGACGCCTCAGATGACAGCTCACACCATCCTCAAGACAGTGACTATATTAATTCCCCCCATGCCTGAAGCTGTGAAGGTGAAAGCCTTAATAGACTCTGGCTGCACCCACTGCCTCATTAGCCTGACACTAGTGGGGAATCTGGGCATCCCATCGAGGAGACTGGAACAACCAATCTCATTTGGACAGTTAGATGGATCCATAGCAAGGGGGGTGCCAGCTACCCTAGCCACTCTACCAATACACCTCTCCTTGGGCAAACATGAGGAGGACATAACGTTTGTGGTGACCCCAGGCATGGAATGCCCAATGATCCTAGGAATGGAATGGTTAAAAAAATGGAACCCCTGGGTAAATTGGAGGATGACAAAAATCAAATTCCTCAAGGAGGACCCTATGGACTTAAAACCCCAAGGGAGGCTACCAGAATCAAGAATAGAAAAAGTATCCATGGGAGAGGAAAAGGGACTAACAGAAATACCAGAGGAATACAGAGACCTTGCTGAAGTTTTCAGTGAGGAGAGGGCGAATGAGCACCCTCCCTACCGACCCACAGACTGTACCATTGAATTCAAGCCTGGGGCAAAACTCCCGAAGCCCAGATTATACTCCATGAGCCCAAAGGAAAAGGAGGAAATGGAAAGATTCATAAAAAAAAAACCTAGAGAGAGGTTTCATTGAGCCAGCCAAGCTTAAAGTGGCTGCCCCGGTCCTTTTTAGAGAGAAGGATGGATCTTTACGCTTATGCGTGGATTATAGGGCCCTGAATACAATCAGTGAAAGCAACCTATACACGCTGCCCCTCATGAAAGACATGCTGTCACACCTCTAGAAAGGGAAATTTTTTTCTAAACTAGACCTAAGGGAAGCTTACTATCGCGTGAGAATTAAGGAAGGGGAAGAATGGAAGACCGCATTTAACTGCCCCATGGGGTGCTATCAATTCAAAGTCTTGCCATTTGGATTACAAGGGGGCCCTGCAGTCTTTATGCAATTAATCAATAACGTTCCAAGGGAGCACCTGTTTAAGGGCGGGTCCTTGTTTACTTGGACGACATTCTTATCTTCACCGAAACAAAAGAGGAACATGTCAACTTTGTCAGAGCGGTTTTAAAGAAACTGCAAGCTGCCCATCTATATGCCAAACTCTCAAAATGCGAATTCCACCAGGAAAGGATAGACTACCTAGGTTATCGCATATCCCCCCAGGGCATTGAAATGGACCCAGAGAAGGTCAGAGCAGTATTAGATTGGGCACCACCCCGCACAAGAAAGCAACTACAAAGTTTCCTGGGCTTTGCAAACTTTTAACGCCAATTCATCCCCTCATTTGCCCAGATAGCCTTGCCCCTCACTAACTTACTAAAAACAAAGGGAGCATCCTCAGTAAAACCTAGCCAGCCACTAACATGGACAATGGAGTGCCAAGCAGCATTTGAGAGACTAAAGAGACTTTTTTCTGCCGAACCAGTACTAAGACACCCAGACATGGACAAGCCCTTCGTAATACAGGCAGATGCAAGTGATGTGGCAGTGGGGGCTGTTCTATTACAAGAAAACGATGATGGAGTATTGCAACCCTGTGCATATACATCCAAGAAACTCACGGAAACAGAACAGCGCTGGCCGGTATGGGAGAAGGAGGCATATGGGATATGTTGGGTATTACTCACATGGCGACAGTTCCTGGAAAACAACAAAATTCCCTTCCAGGTGTGGACTGATCACAAAAATTTGGAAGCCCTGAAAACGCCCAGGAAACTCAATCCCAAGCAAGCCCGCTGGTCCCAGCATTTTCACCAGTTCCAATTTAAGGTCAAACATTTACCAGGGAGAAAGAACTTCCTGGCAGATACCAACAACTCAAAGAGTCACTTTCATGCAGCTTTGCCATGACACAAAATCAGCAGGGCATTTTGGATTTGTAAAAACTTTACACTTAATTAAACGGCAATTTTGGTGGCCATCAATAAAAAAGGACATAGAAAGTTATGTGGCCAGCTGCTCAAAATGTGCGACTGCAAAGAGGTTGCAAGGGAAATCGCCAGGACTATTACAACCAGTGGCAAATCCCTCAGCCCCCTGGAGGGAAATAGCCATGGATTTTATAGTGGAATTGCCTGAAAGCAATTGGAATACTGTTGTCTGGACGGTCACGGACTAAATAAAGGAAATCCTTGACTCTAGGAGATATCATGGAGCGACTCACTACCTAGTTGCCTGGAAACACCTCCCTCCCTCACAAAACGAGTGGGTCCATAAACATCATGTCAGAGCCCCAAAGCTATTAAAGAAGTTTCACACAGAATACCCTAACAAGCCTGACTAAAGTTTATACCTGTTTTGTTTTCTTTCAGGTGGATCTGTCAT